TTTTGGCCCGTAATTCGATCTAGTAAGGTTATTTTTGGTCGGGATTTCGACTAATAAGGTTTTCTGACATTGTAGTTTCAACCAATAGGATTTCAAGGGGGGGGCAATTCAACCAATCAGATTTTTTTGGCCCGTATTTCGATCTAGTAAGGTTATTTTTGGTCGGGATTTCGACTAATAAGGTTTTCTGACATTGCGGTTTCAGCCAATAGGATTTCAGGGGGGGGGGGGCAATTCAACCAATCAGATTTTTTTGGCCCGTAATTCGATCTAGGAACGTTACTTTTTTATAAAAAAAAGTTGGCCACAGATTCGAGGTAAAAGCCAGAATCTATCATCGATGATGAGATTTAGGTGGCAAGAGTAGCGGATAATAAAATTTACTAATCTCATCATAGTGTTGAAAAAAAATCAGCCCAACTTTCTGCTCAGAATGCTAAACTCAAACGTGTAGATAGATGCACTTGGGCAGAATAATGCAGTGTGACTGTGCTGATTTTGAATCGTGGAACTTCGTAAATAAGCAATTTGTTGACAGTTTAGAAACAGCACTTCTACGAGAAAGAGCTGAGCGAGTCTACAGACGAGCGTTACTTGTCATTTAATTGTTTGAATGTCCAATATTCTAAAACTGGTCGAATAATATATGTTGTTGAAAAGCAATCGTAGATAGCATAATTAATCATTCTTTTTCTTCGACCATATGATAATGTTGAATTATTGGATGTTAAACCTGCAGCCCAATTATTAACTGTACTTGATTTGTCGATGAACATGTGTGCTGCATAAATTAAGGCCTTCTGGAGAGCCCATTTTTCACCTGGACGGTATGGACTTCGTTCATGACAAATACACCTTGATAATGAATAATTCTGTGTAGGAACAGTATCATAATTAATAGCATCAGGATGTTGACGATGATGATCCGGGCTACATGACTCACAATGAGCCAGTGCCCACTCATACCAATCCGGAAAATATAATTGTATGTTGATTAATGATGCTGTTGTTGGCCAATTTAATAAGTGATAATCTTGCATTGGTTCTAATTCTTTGTCCATGTCTCCCCACGAGTATAATTTATTTCCAGATCTAAATATTAATGAAAAAAGTTCTTTAATTTTTACATACGTGGGTAATTTATTTGATGGTAAATGTTGTAATTCGATTAATATTATTAATAATGGCAATTGAGGTGGTATGGTTTGTATTTGTATTAATGCTAATTGACCATTTGATCTTTCAGATTCGGTATCGATGGTAAATTGAGTACATGCTTGTACATGATTGATCAATAAATGCATTTCTTCCATTGATGTATAGTTGTTGACATGAATCACTTTGTACATAGATGGTGGTACAGCAAATTGTGGATATTGTTGTCGTAAGTGAAAATTTTCTTCAGCCTTGGTTAATTTTTGTATATGTTGTTGTTGTTGATACTGTTCACGACCATTTGAGTTATCATCAATATCACGTAAATAATGTGGAATAATTTTATCTGACATAGTAATGACTAGAAAGAGAAATAAAATAAACAAAATGAACATAAATAAAATAAAAATAACATATAACATCTTATTGGTTCATAGCAATAATCCCATCGATAAATCAATGTATAGATATCACTCATGGATGAAAGCACATTTTATACAATATATAGTTAAGAAAAAAATTCATAAGGAATAATCAGAACAGAAACATCCCTAAAGAGGAGTTTCCTGACATGTAATATAATGTCAATTTTTGTAGTAATCAATTTTTGATAATGCTATCCATATGGGAATGATGATAACTATTGATAATTAATGCGCGCATATTAAAATATCAATTTTTCCACACACATTAATGAATCAATGTTGTCCCATGAAAGTCGTTGCGCATACGCCAAACATAGTCAAACATCAACCATTATATCATAACAAAACATATACATTAACATTAATTGATCATTAACAAAAATAAATACATTAATATTTTATATTGTTTTGGAAATGAATATAGGTCGAATATCATTGACATGCACTCTCGATTCGACCTGCGTATCTTCATCTTTAACCCAATAAATTGGATGGTGTTTTTTAATAATCACTTTAGGTGTAATTGAATATTTTGGATCTAATTTCGTTTTTGTTCCATGAATTTTAATCAATACTAAATCATTAATTTCATAATGTGGATCTGCACGTTGTTTATCATAGCGATGCTTGTATCGTTGTTGTCGGCTATTAACATTATCACGTGTTTGTCGTTGGAATATCAGTAGATTCTTTTTTAATTGTTCATAATAATCTTGCGGTTTGTTAAAGGTGAACGATGTTGAAGGTTCATCTGTAGGTAAACGTGAATCACGGCCATATTGTAATTGAAATGGTGAATAACCAGTTGTTGCATGAATTCCAGTATTGTAAGCGAATACTACTGGTAATAAAAATTCGTCCCAATTGTTATTTTCACGATCTTGAAGTTTTGCAATTTGGGGAACAAATGTTGCATTGAAACGTTCAACCATTCCATTAGTCTGTGGATGGTAAACACTTGAAAAAATATGGTTATAACCAATTAATTTTGCCATTGCTTCCATTAACTGGTTCTTGAAGTGTGTACCTTGATCTGATAAAATAGATTTTGGTACACCATATCGGCAAATATATTCCTGGAATAATGCTTGTGCTGTAGTCTGTGCTGAGCAATCGGGTAAAGCAATTGCTGTCACCCATCGTGTAAAATAATCCGTGATGCATAACACATATAAATTACCACGTGGTGTTTTCTTAAACGGTCCACAATAATCGATACCAATTAACTGGAACGGTCCTTCTGGCACTGGAATTGGATAAAGTTGTCCTGGTTTCTTTGATCGATTAATATTGTATTGTTGGCAAGGTAAACACGATTGTATATATTTGCTAATCGATTGTTTCATTTGTGGCCACCAAAATTTATTTTTGATCTTTAAATATGTACGTCGAACGCCAAAATGACCACTAAGTGGATCATTATGGTAGAATTGAAGGAGGGAGTTAATCATAGATGATGGTAAATAAATTAATTTTGTTTTTGTAGTGGAATTACTACGCATTAATGCCAACTTGTATAATATGCCATCTTTAAATACATAAGAATGTTTTGTTGAATCTTTCATAATTTCTTTAAGTTTATTTTGAATAACTGGATCTTTTGCTTGTTCAATTTTGATTTGAGTTATATCAAAATTATTAGATGTAATTAAACCTGACGTAACTTCATCTGAATGTTCAATTTTTTCGTGACTTGATGAAGATGATTTATCATTTGTAATTGATGGTATAGTTACATGAATTTGATCTTGTCGTTGTGCTATTTGTTTCATCTTGGAACGTGTAACAACAGCACCAACAATTTGAGAATTGTTTTCAGGAACATGCACCATTTCTGGTGGTTCCCCTTGAAATAACATGTTTATGCCATAATCTTCATCAAATATTTCTTCATCATTTTGTATTGGATGACGAGATAAATAATCAGCTAAACAATTATGTTGACCTTTAATATGAATAATTTTTTCAATATTATATTCTTGCAATAAAATAGAAATTCGATCTACTCGTCGATTTTTTACCGATGAATTCATCATTTTGCATAAGGGACAATGATCAGTATAAATTATAATAGATCTTCCAAGTAAATAAGATCGCATTCGTTGAAAACATAACCATATAGCTAATGCTTCTAATTCAATAGGATCATATCGTCGTTGAGTAGGAGATGTAACTTGAGAATGATAATATAAATTTTTAATTTCACCATCAATATTTTGTTGTAATGTACCACCTATACCCACTTTCGATGCATCGGTTGTCAGTATAAGTGGATAATTATCATTTGGAAAATTAAGAAATAATGGGGATTTAATTAATAATTCTTTTAATTGGAAAAATGCTTGTTGTTGTGCATCACCCCAAACAAATTGTCTTCGATTTGGTTTGGTCAAATTTGTTACTCGATGGATGGGTGCTGCAACTGTAGCGAATTGAGGAATAAATTTTCGGTACCATGAAATAGAACCCAGGAACTTATTTGCTTCTGCTAATTTAGAAGGTTCCCTCAATTTAATAATTGCTTGAATTTTTTCATTATTAGGTTTAACACCAAATTCAGATATCGTATGAGATAGATAATCAATATGTTGATGAAAAATATTACATTTGACCGGATTAAGTTGAAAATTATGTTTTGATAAAGCAGCTAATACTTGTGCAAGATGATTGAGATGTTCTTCAAATGAACGAGAATATACCACGATATCATCAATATAAACCAACGAGAATTCCCGACATGGTGATAATATATCAGTCATTACTCGTTGAAAAGATGGTGGACTATTCTTAAGACCTTGAGCCAGCACATTCCATTCGAAGAGACCGTCTGGAGTAATAAATGCAGTTTTAAATTTGTCTTCTTCTTTAATTGGAAGTTGCCAAAATCCACTCTTCATATCAAGTTTAGAAAAAAAATTATAGCCACCACCTAATAATTGTATTGCTTGTTCCATATTAGGTAATGGATGATTATCTTTAATAGTAATATTATTTAATTTCTTATAATCAACTACCATTCTCCATGTACCATCTTGCTTAGCTACCAGTAATGCTGGTGCTGCATATGGAGAATCAGATGGACGAATTAATCCAAAATGCAATAATTCTTGTACTATTTTATACATTTCTTCTTGTTTACTTGGAGTAGAATAATATGGTTTAGATACTGGTGGAGGATGGTCAAGCGTTTTAATAGCATGAGATGTTACATTACTAGCAACTGTTAATTTACTTGTGTCAAATAATTTTGCATATTGATTAAGAAGAGTTTTTACCCTATCTTGTTGTTCAGGATTATCAATATGTCGAATTAAATTATTAATGTTCTTATGTACGATTTGATGATCAGTAGTTGAATTTCTTTTAAAAGACAATGTGGGAATAGTTGTTGTTCCCAAAATAATTCCTCTTGGTAAAGAATATGAGTAAGTTGTTGGATTATAAAGTGAAATAAATGATGTATGATGATGAATAGTTAATGCAGAATTTAACATAATGACAGGTGATCGTTGTTGTAATTTAAAAGATGGACGAAATAATACTTGAGCTGACGATAATTCTACCGATACAGAAACTGTTACTGTTTGCTTTGGTGGAACCCGAACATTATTAATTAAACGTGCAGGATATCTTATATCGTTTTTATTAATAGCAAATTTCAATGTTGTTCGTTTATAATCATCACTAATTGAAACTATTTGTTCTTCTGTATTAATAATTAATTTATATTTATTAATGAAATCCATGCCTAAAATACAATCAGCACATAATTCTTTAACAACAAATGCTTTAATAGAAGTTAACATATCACCCATTGTAATAGATAGAGTCATTGTACCAAAAACAGAAAGAGATGTATGACCATCAGCTAAAATTATACGACTATGTGATTTATTAACAAGGTGCTTACCATAAGATGGATCTAATGCTTTAATTGAAATAAAAGATCGATTTGCACCTGTATCAATCATCACCTTCATTTTTTTATTATTTACAATAACATTAAGATATAGTAGAAATGTATTTGGTGTCGATGGATTGTTATATAAAGTATTGGAAGCAACACCACCGATCATTGCCTCCTTTACCCGAAATGGGTACGGGTACAATCCCGAGGATAATGTCCAGGAGTACCACACTTATAACAGCAATTTGATCGTTCTGCATATTGTGAATATCTTGAAGGTTCATAACGTTGATTTTGCTTAAACGAAGTTTGTGTAGTACGTGGATAATTTGGACGTGACAGTGATTGTGCGTGTGAAGGTATATTTCGTCGAATATTGTTACTTGATTTTTGTGAAGTAGTTGTTCGTTCTAACGATTTTTGAGCTGTAGTAACATTGATGGTAATCTCATCCTGGTGCACGTCATTGTTTGTACTGGTAAATGATAATGTATCTTCAATTTTTCTAGCAAGTAATAAAAATGAGTCAGTTGTTTTTGGATCTTGTAATGCAACATGTAATTTTAATGATTCTCTTATGCCGGCCATTAAATATTTTAATTTTAATGAATCAGGCATAGCTGGATCAACTTTCTTGCATAGTTCAATAATTTTATCATAATATTGCATAATAGATTGATTAACCGTTTGTTTGTACCATTTTAATTGTTCAAATGCTAATTCTTGTACTTTTGTTGATCCAAAAGCTTTTATAACGGCTTCAGTGAATGATGACCATGATTTAATCGTCGTAGATGCTTGTGACCACCATCGATATGCATCATCTTGTAAATGGATTGAAATATATTGTAATTTTTCTTCGTCATTCCATTTTGCCATTTGAAAACGTTGTTCTAATTTTTCTAACCATTCATGAACGTCATCTTTTGAACCACAAAAATATGTTGGTTTTTTAATAATTTCATCGGCAATTGTTCGTTGCAAACGTGATGCAGATGAAGAGCTAGAAATTAAATTTGAC